AGCAGATACTCAGGAAGCTTTGTCATGCCAAAGAGGAGGCCCACAGAAGTGGGGACAGGATCCTGTACAGCCAAGCCAGGAACATACAAAGGACAAGGGAGATCAGAGTAACAAAGAGGAGCTACTCCAAAAAGCTGAAAATCCAGTTTTGAGACAACGACCCCTCATCTGTGTGGAGAAGCCTAAAAAACATCACTAGCTACAGGACAGCTTTCTGACAGGCAGGAAGCAGCAGGTGAGGCTGGGGAAGAGCCCCCTACACCCTACTCAGCAGCACTGTATCAGCAGTGGGGTCCTTCAAGTTCCTTGGCTCCACTGTGTCCCAGCACCTGAAGTGGTCGTCCCATATCAACACCATCACCAAGAAGGCACAGCAGAGGGTTTACTTTGTTGCAGCAAAATGCAACTTCCTGCACCAGCTCAGGAAGTTCAACCTGCCCCAGGAGCTGCTAATGCAGTTCTACAGAGGAATCATCGAGTCTGTTCTCTGCACTTCCATCACTGTCTGGTTTGGCTCAGCAACCAAACAGGACAGGAACACACTCCAGTGGACAGTCAGGACTGCAGAAAGTAGTAGTCTGCTGTTGTCTCTGACATGCCAGCTATGCTGTCACCTGCTTTTCCCTGTCCACTGACCTGCACGCCAAAGTCCTCAGGTCTGCATCTTTGGGTCCTGTCTCAACCTAACAACTCTAAATGACTAACATTTTAATTAAACTCTTCTTGAAAAAACATTAGTCTGGTCAAAAGGTGTTTCCTGAGCACCATATGTTCTGTCTAGAGCCTCTGTGTCTGTAACGCACAGTTTCATAGTCTCTAGGAGACTGGACCATAGTAATAACAGAAGAAAATCTGTGCACAGCTCCTACAACAATGTAGTTAGTATAAGGAGACATACACATCTTGTGACAGGGCTGGCTGAGGGATGTGACGGGATGTCAGCTTGGGTTTTGTGGATGAGCGCTCTGGCTAACAGTCAAAAGGTAATGTGTGGGTTTGTGTGATGGTAGGTGCATAGGATAGGGAACAGGGGGAAGCATGAAGCCGCGGGTTTGACATGAAAAACTGCGGAACAACATAGAAAGGGAGGACCTGTTGCTGCACTGAGTAAAATGGGGTTTCTATGTGCGCGTAGGTATGTTTTTGATGCATTTGAGGGTGTAAAATGTTGGACAAAGACTGAGGTTGTTGTCTTACAAAACTACTTCAGTGTTTCATGTGAAAATGAAGAAACAGGTATTGTGTTTGGGATTTGAGAATTTACACAACATGTTTATAGGAATAGTTTGACATTTTGAGAAATATACTTGTTTGCTTTGTCACAGACAGACAGTTAGAGGAGAACAGTGAGAGAACAGTCTCAGAAAACCTGCCAAACCACAGTAACCACAGTGCACTGTGCTTTCACCCAACCTGTTTACTCTCTACACTTCACTGGGGGTGTGGATGGGGAGGTGGTCAGGAACTACAAGCACCAGGGGGTGCAACTGGATGACAAACCCGTCAGCTAACAGTGATGCCTCTGCAGCAAACTCCTGAACATCTTTTACCAGTTTGTGGTTGCCAGTGCTTTGTACTTTGCAGTAGTTTGGAAACATAAAGGCAAAGGATACTGCCCAGCTGGACAAGCTGGTGAAAAGAGCACAGTCTGTGGTGGGAATAGAGCTGGAGTATCTCAGGTTGGTTGTGGAAGGAAGGGCTCCTAAAAAAACTGTTATTTGTAATGGAAAATACAAATCACCCCCCGCATGATACAGTAACCAGACAGAGGAGCCGATTCAGCAGTAGGCTGCTGTCACTGAGGTGCTCCACAAATAGACTGAGGGAGTCCTTTGTAGCGAGGGCTACGGGAGACCTAACTTATCTTTGGGATTAATAAAGTGCCTGTCTGTCTGTCTGTCTGTCTGTAGTTTGGCATTGAAAGCCTATTCTGGCCTTTAGGGAGTGCTGTGACAGTGAGGGTGTACTCATACCATGGGGACTAAAAGACCTCTTGGTGGCTGTTAACACTGTGCAGGCTCAAGCACAGAGTGTTGTGGCCTGGGTGGAAACGGGGTCAAAAGGGGAGGGCAACAAGGAGCAGCTCAAAATCTCAAAAATGGGGGCACAAGTGAGAGGGCGTATCTCAACACAGAGACTGAAGTGCAGAGAAATGAAAAAGGACCCCAGGGGAGAAACAAAGAACTATCTCTTTCAAAGACAATTTTTCTCACTTTGGTGTGCTGACACTTGTGGAAGAGTTTTAGGTTCTGAGGAAGATGAGACGCAACAACCACAAGGCATATGCATTAGCATGTGCCACAGTCACTGCAGATAAATCAGATGGAGTGCCTTTGACATAAACAAAACAAATCAATTCTAAAAAAAAAACCCTTCAATATGAAAAAGGTTTCACAAATAATGTTCAACTTAACTGTTTTTAGTTCATTCTCTGTGGTGATTTCCAAAACAAATTCCACACATTCCCTCACTTCTTCCTTTTGTCCTCAAATGTACTTTGTACTTCACGCAATACAACAAAGACACACACTCACCACATCAATGATTTGTAGCAGTGTGAGGCCGAGGTCCACCACGATGGGCGCTGAGTCATTTTGGACAGGTCTCTCCAGCCGGTTGTAGTTCACCAACAGGTCGTGGTACAGCTTCCTCTGATACACGCCACCATGACAACCTGGAGGGACAAGAGGATGGAAAACAAAAATGGGAGAGGAAAGGAATTAGGTAAAGGCCAGATGTGGTTTAGTGTGTAAGCAAAGTGAGACAAAGAATAATAAATAATAGAGTTAAAGGAGTTAAATGGAAGGAGAAAGCGACACAAGTGAGAAGAAAAAACAATAGAAGCACTGAGGTGATAACCATGAAGAGTGAAACAGAAACAATGGTGGGAGGAGCAGACACATTTACATTGTGCTGTTTAAATCTTTAACAAAGGCTCAGTCAACCCAGTAGTTTAATAAAACCCTACTCAGAATATTCTCCCACACATATCAATGCCTGTAATCTAATCAACACTTTAATTACATTTATTTTCCAACATTGTTTATGTGGCGCCAAATCCATCAAGAAGTCCTGATTAAGTCGCTGTATGCTGAGCGTAATGAGCACATTATTAACTCAATGAACTTTAATTGTGTTGAATGTGCTTTCATTTTGTCTCTCCTCTATTCATTATGGCTCATCAAGAGGTTAACACTGAATAATGAGGCATTCATCTTTAACAGGAGTGAGTAGCCTAGCATAGCGTCTCAGTGCAAACCCAGTCATGAAGGTAGCATGTCTTCACTTTGGCACAGAACCATTGTTTCTCTTTTACCAAGACATCTGCCATAGTAAAATGTGTCATAAAAGGCACCGACTAATAGGACAGTGTTTCTCATAATGACAAGAAAAACTGTAGAGTAACAAATAAAATATATATCATCCTATTGTCCACATGATCAAGCGCCTGACACATACAGTAATACTGAAACATGTTTTACTGTATTTGTTTTTGTTTCAAAGCACAAATAAAATGACTTGATATATTAAAAATCTAGTCGTTTTATTAATTAGGGCCCAGTATTAGTTTCATCAAAACAACTAGAATTATCACTTTGTATTTCTATGCCTCCACCAACCAGTCAGATTTACGGGAATGGATAGACGTGAGGTCACTGACCTTTACCTTTGACCTGTGACCACCAAAATCTAATCAGTTCACCCTTGAGTCCAAGTGGACAATTGTGGCAAATTAAAAAAAAATCCCTCAAGGTGTTCCTGAAAGAATTACAAGAATCCTTTGACGGACTGCTGTTTCCTGCGGTAAACTGTACTCATTTCCTGTTTTCTGTATTTGCACTGCGTTGTGCTTGCTTCCAGATTGTTTAGGAATTAAACTCACTATTTTCTAGGTTCATCTGAATTTTTGAGTGACAACATATGCTTGCACCACTTAAAGCACTTGTTTTGCAGAAGTTCTTGCTAACTACCAAATTTAACTTGCTACTTTAGGTCGGCTAGTTTAGAAGCTAGCTAAGCTAGTAGCTGAATCAAGAGCAATGGCTTCCCCCTCTTCCTCTCCTCCTTTCTTTTGCTCGGAGTGTCGCATGTTCAGTTATTCCTCTGCCTACTTGTAATAAATGTCAGATGCTAGCAGCATTGGAGGCGAGGCTCACAGACTTAGAAGCGCGGCTCCACACCATGGAGAATGGCCCAGCTAGCTATCCCCATGTAGCCAGTGTGGAGCCTCCTAGACGTAGCTTAGCCCAAGATAGCCGCCCCCCACAGCTTCCCGAGCAGCCGGGATCTCA